TGTCATTCCCTAGAGTATCATTTCTTTGTTTAATGGTAGCACATGAGAAGACACATGAATATGGATACAACTCAAACAAAAAATCTTATTCTCAAGACCATGTGTCATTCCCTAGAGTATCAGGTTGCACACGAGAAGACACAAAATCTTTGATACGACTCAAACAAAGCATTAAATTTCAAGCGAATGACACGTGGTCTGAGATGGGAAAACCTTTAGCCCGAGGTAAAGAGTTCTATGTCTAAGGCGTTCAACTGGCGGGCGGGAATAAAGTGACAGACACAACCCTGCTGTTTCATAGACATTAAAAAGATTTTATCTTAATGTTGTATACATTAGTGAATGCCCACTCGGCTGGAAATCGATCGAGGTATCTATAATCAAAAAATATCTAGCGTATAACTACATGCCAAGAATATCTAGCGCAGAACTACATTGAATGAAGACCCAGTAATGAAGACACGATCAAATCGCCAAAACCTGAAACAAACCAGATATAATTCAAAGTAAAGTTACAATTCTAAGTCTTCTTATTCAAGCAATCTAATTGGCTAGTGTCTTTAGTCTTCCGTGTTTTGAATTCGATTAGAATTGAAGCCTTCTTTCTCTTTGTTCATTTTGTTTTTCACTAAGGACACACACAGTCATACGCATAATCACTAGACTTTGTTTCCTATCCGGGGTCATTCGATAAGCAAGCCGCCAAAATTAACTACCCGCTATTTCAAACCGTGTTAAGTAAACTGCCCAACTCATTGCCACGTGCGTTAGTTAATGGATTGATTTGAGTGAATCTGCGATTCGATATTATTTTGATTAGATGTCTGATAGACAGGAATGAAAATCAATGACCCTGAGGTCTTTCGACGTCTGTAAATCCCTCGCTKAGCCCTATGGGTCCTTTAATAGTATATCTACATGTTGTAGAGAAGGTTTCTAGACAGAAGGTCTGTAGAGCAGAGGAAATCAAGTTGTCGTCTTCATCACGTCATGGATGTGCAAAGGTTTTTTCTTCTCTTGTTCGTGTTTTTGTTATTTTTCTCTTGTGTTGAGCAGAAAAAAAAGAAAACATCTTCAAAAAGAGCTTCCAAGAAAAAGTCATCTCAGCATCTCAAACGAGTGAAAATTCAAAATAAACTAAACCAGCTTTGCGAAATGCAAAAGGAAGCGAACTTGCCAGGTACAGCACTGGAACTCCACGCATATTTCGATCTTCGTCCACGTCGAAAGGTAATGTTACTCTGTGGATATTAAATTTTACTTCCATAAAGATAATAACCTAGTGAATATCGACTTCTAAGTCTAGCTTATCCTTTGATTTATACACGGGGTTTGCTGTCCCCGACAGGAAGATTGATTCGAATAGAGTTTTTTATTTATTTCGACATGAAAAAATTAGCGGATTAATAGCTACTCGTTTTCCGGTAGAATTCAACCAGGACAAAGAAAGGTAAAATGTATTTTTCAAATTACTCTATTTCTTTTCCCAACGATTTCAGAGGTTTATAAGACTTAGAAGAAAATGAAGAATATTTACTCCTGCGAACAGAATTGTTGATATTTTCCATGAAAGAGTTCATGTGATTTGTGAGGCATAGCAACGGTAACTAAGGTGTATAAACATGAATTGGTAAGGATTTGTTTACCGTTGTTTTGCAGCCTTTTGCTTGTCTCAAGGTGACAACGTGTAAAGGATCGCCCGTATGTTTTGTGACTACGCATCCGTATTTGAAGAACAAGTCGATTAATGATACGACGACATGGCAAGAGCTGGTTAGCTTTATTCAGGTATGTCCTGCAATATGAGGAATCTGATATAACATATGATATGGGTAGAATAGGAAAGGAAAGGAAAGGAAAGGAAAGGAAAGGAAAGGAAAGGAAAGGAAAGGAAACGAAATGAAACGAAAGGAAACGAAAGGAAAGGAAAAGTCGCAGGATAAGTTCTTCATGTCTTTACATCCTTCTTTCTTCTTCTTTCCCTCCGTATCTTCATAGAATACAAATACACGTGAAACGAAAGGAATCCTTTCCTTAAGAGCCACTTGAGATTCATCAAAAAAAGCATTCATTATAACAGGGCAGAATTCCTGGTAGATCTATAGTCCGTGACCTGGCGAGTTTGATCAAACCACAAAAAAAGTTTTCCCGGTGTACATAACCATCTCAATCGACTCTAGTCTGGATTCTGCTAGGTTTCTTATCAAAGCAGATAAATGAGAGCATTGGATGGTGACAGATCTACCACGCCTCGCCAAAGGGTCGAGTCATTTGATTGGAGACATTTGAGTCTAACTATCATACAAAAAGAACGGTTGGAATGCTACAGAGAACAAAGCTGCTCGCATTTTCGCTCTACAGTTCTCGTTTTGTGGCGGACTTTTGTCGTGTGTGCAGCTCTGTGAGCGATAGACAGAAATATTAGCTTGATCGTTTGTAGTTTGTGTACAAACAGACACACCATCTGTTTACCAGATGGCCATTMTTAGCAATCGCTTAAGGTTAAGAATGCGAGATCTCCCGATCAAAGCATAAAACAAATCATATCAAATTTGTAAAAAATCTGCTTTGGCAGAGGTCAGAAGACGAAGCTCTTGCCAAAAACGCCAAGGGCAACTCTATAATCATACTGTCTCAACAACCTCCACTTTTAGCGCTTTGATAACAAGACATACTTGCTCCCGAAGGAATACCAGACACTTAAGTAAAAGCTAAAAAGTGATTATAAACGTTAGTGATAAGTGCTCGATAATAGTTCACGAGAGTAAATCAAGCGGTTGAGGTAACCTAGAATATTCGACGTTCTACAAAAATTGAATCCATATGAATGCTAATTACATTTTCTGGCGTGGGGCAGAACATTGAAACAGAAGTTCCTAGCAATATTCACTATATTGAAGTTATTTTCTAAGGAGAATTAGGAACTATGCTATAACATTTTCCCCTGTATTCTTGTGTGCAAAACGGCTTTCCATACAAAATGTATGCTTCTCATAGAAACTCGTGTATACCGTCCGTACACGTATCTGCAGATATTTTTTATTCTACTGATTTTCAACTACAAAAACAAAAATTTCTCGTCCACACCAAGTGTTTTCGAGTCACTTTCGCCCGTCCACACAAATCCTTTATCGAAAAGTCGCGCTTTCAAGGCAATCCCATCCTCAATAAAATAAATCCGTTTTCAAGAGTAATCCGGATACGCAGTGGACGGGATTTCCGATAATGCTTGATCGTCCTATTGTCTGCACTTATATATAAATACTAAAATACATTAGATAAATATTTTCGCTAATGGTTTGAGGTTTGGAAATCAGTGCCGCAAATCGCGCTATTTTTGATCGGATATTTTCTTAAGAATGGCATATGAACTTTGTCTAGAAATATGAACTTAACCTGTTATTTGTGTTCCTTGTCGGTTACTTACGGTTACGGTTACGGTTACCACAGGCGACACAAAAGAAATCACTCGAATCCAAGAAAACCCTTTTACTGGCTACTGAACAGGGAGCTAACAAGGAAATATTTATAAAGCATATAGAGGCGCCGTTAGTTTTTCAAATGATTTTATGTTTTGGGGTTTCATATTGTTAAATTTAAGTTACTAACGAAAATATAATTTTATGGTAAAATCGCAAAGTTTTAGTGCCGCGAAATATGCGACGAAAATTTAATTCCAAACGGCATTTAGTACTACAACCTACGACGYGAGTGAAAACGTCTGCGCATGCTCTGAATCCATATGCAAATCTCGTACCCAGAGCCTGCGTTTCTTCTGGCCTGCGGCGAAGAACCAGGGCTCTGAGACGGGAGAGCCTACATAGCAAGCAGTTGATGTAATGTGTTCATAAAAATACGAGGGAGCACACCTACAAATACAACAGATAGAACGACAATAGAATACAATATGAATACATTACACCAACTGAGTGCTATGTAGGTTCTCCAGCTCTGAGACCAGAATTTCTTGGATTTCTGGGATAAGAGCGCATGCGTTCAAAGATTTGCCAAAAATCAAAAAATTATTGCGCATGCGCCAAAAAATGGATTATTCCAGAGCCCTCATTCTTTGTCACAGGCCAGAAGAAACGCAGGGTCTGGGTACAAGATCGTATGCAAATAAGTTAAAAACGTCTTCATGCCACTGTTAAAATATGTAAATTTGGCTTTCAAACATGCCTGATAAATTAGAATTCACAAAATACCAAAACCATGCCTGAAACTTAAGGCTTCTTCTTTCATATTGTGTTTGTTAATACAGTATCTTGGTCTGACAAAAGTATACTCGCGAAATGTGTTGTATACACGGAGAAAACAAATATTTATTTTCTCATTCAAATTCTTCAAAATTCTTAGAAAACGTGCTGAAATACACGCATGCGCAAACGTTTTTCACGACGCCGTCAACCGAGCTTCAAAAGCAAACGGGTATAGATCACAAATTTGAGATTTTTTTTGTACATGAATTTTTCATGCGTCAGTCTGTCTTCTTAATGACGTGCTAAATTACATTCCATAGCTTTTAATCCCCCTTCATTTATCTATCAATTAATCGATCAATTCATTAGTGTCAACCATGTTTTTTTACCCTCGAGAATGGAAAAATGAGCTTTTAGCATGGAATTCCAAAAATCACGTACAGGATAGAAGAATAATAGCCATAGCTGGAAGGAGTATGTTAAAATTAGATAAACTGTGAAGCTGCTTGAAGGAAATGAAAAAAAAAAAAAAAAAAAAAAAAAAAANAAAAAAAAAAAAAAAAAAAAAAAAAAAAAAAAAAACTCGCAAAAAAATATGAATTTTCAAAAACCGAAATGTCCTAAGAAAACATGGTTGATATGTAAGAGATAACCTACAAAGGTTTTGTTTACAAAGTTCAAACTTTTCAAAAAATCATATCTTCGCGAGGATTTTTGAACTCATGCCCTCGAAACTTTACAATCTTACTGATTGTAACATGTCGTTTCTTAATATTTGATTTTTTCGGTTTTACTGATTTCAAAATGACCTACTAAATGATAATTTAGTTGATGTCCTAAGGAAGAGCTCATACACGCTACACATTGGCTAGACAGATTTGTAAGAGCATGATATTCGTGCATTATCGACCATAAATAGAGTGCAAACAATATAACCGTGAAACTTTAGTAATACTAAATAGCACAATTTCATGCAAAGTCCATTGTTTTCTATTGGGACTATTTTGTACTATTTAGTAATTAGTGTTTCACGGATAGTTTGCACTCTACCATGCCGCTTATACAATTCATATAAAATATATATCAATCTTTGCATTAATAATATCCCCATGTTATTGCAGAGAGACAGAAAGATCGAGCCAATCTACGATTCGTCAATGGTAAGGTTCTCAAGACTCCTACATGTACTTATGCTAACTATGTCACTCAAATAGTATTCCGTATTTTTTTTTTAAAAGATGTATTTGCTACAATAGTCCCCTTCACAGTTCCCTGCGCCATCTTGAAAGGTAGCGGTGCCTTTGCATCGAAGCGAGACGAACGGTGAGCTTGCAATGATAGAGACATGCGAGTACTTGTTCAAGGTGTTAAAAAGGTCTCTATCATTGCAAGCTCACCGTTCGTCTCGCTTCGATGCAAAGGCACCGCTACCTTTCAAGATGGCGCAGGGAACTGTGAAGGGGACTATAGATTTGTCAATGAATTCTTTTGTTATATCCTCCAACATGGCCGACGTGTCTTTTGTTATTTAATTCTCTTGGGAATGGTTGAAAACCATCAATAGGTAAGACATATTGGTTTTGTTTGGTTTTGGCTTCTAAAAGACGCTCGTTTTTATTTACCACGATGATATTCACCGCTCATGATGCAAAGCAAAGGAATGTATAAGTGATGATGAACTTCAAATATTCTGCTCTGCTTCAAATAGCATTAAAAATACGTGCCTGTCCAAAGGGATTGGAAAACTTCTTGACCCCCCAAAAACGTGTCTCTTCATACAAGACTTGTAGGTTAAGAATATTTTAGAGGAAGATCGTGAAAGAGGATGGGTGGCCCAAGGTATTGGAATAACTTTAACTCTGTCTCAAGTGCTTTGTTGATGGGAAAGTTTACGATTACGTCCAGAAGATTGCCTTTTGATTTCTGGAACAGCAGATCGAGTCACTGCGGTAAGTTATAACGAGAGTCCATTAGAAGCCAAAACCAGGCTAAACCAACATGCTTTATAACGTGAAACGTCGAATGTTTAAGGTTTATACTTCCAATATGTTACTGACACATTTTCAAGATGGCGTAGCTATTATTCATTTAATACGTCTAAAATCTAATAATAAAGAACTAGCCGCTAGTTCGACTCAATGGAAAGCGCCCTTAGTTTTGCAAATGTTCTCGCTCGATTCTGATTGGCTAACATTTTTGTAGCAATGCTCCATGAAGCAGTACAACTTATCTATCGATCCATGTCCGTGAGTAAACTTTACGCAGGAACCCCAATACCACATTTTAGCAGTATCAGATGATCAGATGCCAGGCGAAACGATCAATACCTTCTCGTATCTTCTCGAAAATTTCCGAATCCTATCGCAAAATGACTGAAGCTCGAAAGAGGAAATGATTAAAAAAGTATGATTTACCGCCATTTCCGTTCATACTATTTTTGTACGCTTCCACAGTTTTTATCTTCGTATTATACACTCAATTGAAGAATCGTTGTCGGGTTCAGAAACATAGAACATGGAAGCTGAGACCGAATGGCACATGGGAAGTACGTTAATTAGATGCATGTGTGACCGGCGACCCGTGGCATCATCCACTGTTTTTAATACCCGTTTGGCATAAACCAACTGCATGGATGGCGCAAATGAATGAATTATAACATAGTTATGTCATTTTCCATGTGCCATTTCGGTCTCAGCTTTCATGTTCTATGTTTCTGAACCCGACAACGATTCTTCAAATGAGTGTATACTATTACAACTAATATAAAACATAAAACGACATCATATATCCACATCATCAAAAAATCCTTTAAGGAGGTTGGAAAGTGTTTTGTGCCTTCACATACACTTACAATTATGAACTAAAAAAAAGTAAATATGGCTATAATATGACAGCAAATAAACCAGGAATGCAAAAGACTATAAACCAAAGATCACAATGATCATGAAAAAATGACGTAAGACGTTGCTATGACAACATCAGAACCCTTGGTATGCCATCAAAAATGTTCATTTAAAAAATCATAACTCAGGAACCAAATGGTGAAATTTTTTAAAAACCGGAATACTTAAAGTTCGTATCGTAATCTTCTTTTTGGCAAAAAAAAGAAAAAAAATCCGTAATAGGAATTTCGTAAAAATCAATAAAATTTGTTTGGAATAGTTCCCTCTTACAGAATTTTTTAATTTTTTAAAAAAGTTTTCGAAAACATAAACTAAAGCCATATGTAAAATTTGAAGAAATTTCACCACAGAGTTTTTGATTTTTCTCAGTTTGAATATTAAAAATTTATAGAGCGCGCGCTCAAGAAATACCGTTTCGAGCCTCCTTAGTAAATGGATATCTTCAACGAATTTCGATTACTAGCAGTGCCACATGCGCTTTATAAGCGCTATTTTTTTCTCATGTCAGCTGGGTCTTCTTAATCTCATTTTCGTAAATTCTTTGTACTTTTTATCAAAACACCTTTGTGTATAATTGATGGTTTGTACGTTGCAGAGTGGATGGAATGGTGACAGGTACAAGGCCCTCAGTCAATACGTCCAAAACCAGCCAGCGATCTACAGAATGTGTAGACAAGCTACTGTGTATCGATTTGTCGTTAATGAGAACGTTACTAATGATAACAACGGTAAGAAATTACTAAATCTACGTACTTTTTTTATTTCTTTGTTCAACTGATCGACCACATGTCAATTCCCTTGAGTATTATTTCTTTCTTCATCATCAGTGTTTTCCCATCTCAGACCACATGTCATTCCCTTKTGTATTATTTCTTTCTTCATCAGTAATGTTTTCCCATCTCAGACCACGTCATTCCCTTGAGTATTATTTCTTTCTTCATCAGTAATGTTTTCCCATCTCAGACCACGTCATTCCCTTGGGTATTCTTTCTTTCTTTATCAGGTTTATTTCCCATCCCAGTCCACGTCATTCCCTTGAGTATTACTTCTCTTTCTTCGTCAGTAATGTTTTTCCATCAAAGCAAAAAACCTTATGCTCGCAAGAAAACGGTCCAAAAAAGGTTCTATTAACCGGCAAACCTCTATTTAGCGACCACCTAAACAACTGTATGCCTCATAGTTTCTTCTGTTCTACTATGATTTCTTTAAGCTCACCATTATTTTTTTGTTAGAAGACACATCAGCGAATTCAAGTTCCAGCACCAGTACCAGTAATTCGTCGTTCAAGCCATCACTTCCGGTCAACTCCAACCCTGCCATGACTCTTTGCCCTCTGTTCAAACGCCAAAAAGGAAAATCCACTCGCATCAAACGAGTTGGAAGAACCAAAAACCAAACATCGGATAACTTCTTCATGTGCCAAGGATTCAACTGTCCTTGTGTGCGGATCTGTGTTGGACAGGGCAGGAACAGAAAGAACTTCACAGAATGCTCGACATTCAGGATCATTTGTACGTTTAACTGCGGCTCTGATACGATTGAAGTCCCACAGGTACCAATCATCACCAAACCTACCAAGCGACCAACAAAGCGACCGAAGAGATCAGGACACAGGAGGAAGAAGCAGGGTAAGAAGTCAAGGGGAAGAAAGAAAAGGAATAGAAATAAGAAGACTCCTACACCACCCAATACGTGATTACAAGATGACACCGGCCAATGTTAATGAACTAGTTTGATGCCAATGTTAGACTACAGGGTGTTATACTGATTACAATATGACACCAATGTTAGTGAACTAGTTTGATGACAATGTTAGAATACAGGGTGTTAAACTGATTACAAGATGACACCGGCCAATGTTAGTGAACTAGTTTGGTGACAATGTTAGAATACAGGGTGTTAAACCAAGTAGAGTGGTCGCTAAGGAGAATATGTTCTGTTAACATTAAAGTGCATGTAAGGGTGGGCCTGAATTTCCTTGAGAACATGCACCAGGGCCTCCTCTGGTTTCATTTCAAATAGTCAGCGGCAAGATTCGTCTAACACTGAATTTTTACCCCCTACTCCCCTCTCCCAGATTTCTAGATCCTCCCCTAGAATTGATTGTACGATTTAACCTTTCGAATCTGACAACATTGGTATAGTGTGTGGATACTAACTTACGTTACACATGACCAGTCTCTCTCATGTTTTGATTGGACTTTCGGTGGCTTCGTCTAGAATTCCAAGTCTAGGTGCCAACTATGCTTAAAATTACTGCAATTGCGCTATTTCACTATGACATCACTGCTTGTTTATGTGGGGGATAGAATCGCCAAATCCAATAGAAAATTCAATAAAATTTGCTCCCAGCGAAACAGCTTTAATCTAAGATGGCATGGTTTACAAATATAATATGTGTTAATRTGTACTAAAAAATATTCTGAGCGTTTACTGGCTATTCTACTTCTCTTTGTGGATTGATACGGGTTTTAGAACAATCTTCGGTGAATTACGTTGATTTGACCCTCTCCAACGACCATGATCCTTTGCGTTTAAGCAATAGATTGTTTTGATATGACGTCATAGTGAAATAGGGCAATTCAAATTACTTTAACTTAAAAATAAATATTTCCTAGCTAATTCTCAGAAGTGTGAATTCTTTTTTGAAAATATTTCACAATCATTCTTGACATCGGGTTCAAAGTCTAATTATATTAACTGAATTCTTTTGGAATAATACCAGAGTAGTTGATTGGAGGTTTGAAATTAAAGAATGAAGTCTTGAAAGCTACATTTGAATTCCCAGAATTACTGGACATGTGTGACGGGAATAACCAGTAACTATASGATTGCTAAGTTAGTTAGAAATGAGGTAGTTATATAACTATAGATGGTAATGTCAGACTATGATCCAAGCAACAATGGATCAAATACTGTAATTCTTCGTTTGCAATAGACGTCATAGCCGCCATGTTGGAAGAATTTGACAAAAGATTTTTAAATGAATTCTTTTGTTATATCTTCCAACATGGTGGACATCCCTTTTGTTATTGTGCTCTCTTGGGATTGATTGCAAACCAAGAATAGACCATTCTCGAGTTCAAAATAACCGCTGTGTTGCTTGCTTAGACACATTTACTCAGGGTTAGCCTTGTATCAGTGTTTAAATATTCACAAATACCAACAGTAAAGGATGCACAACTTCAACAATACAAACACTTTGAAATTCCACAGACCTTCGCTGGAAAGCATGAATATTTTGCACAAAATCTAGACTAAGCCTGAGCAAAAGAGAACTCCAAACTGGAGTAAAGAGTCAGGATGGGTAAAAAGTCTTTCTGTCTGATCTTTTATCCTAAAAATTGTGCATTTTGATTGGCTGTGCAAAGAGGCAGTATTTTCTATCTCTGCCCAGGATCCGGCCATCTCGATGTAAGGCTTATTTCATCCGCACTTCCACATGGGTTAACAAAACAAAACAATGGGAACAATAAATAAGTTATTTGCCTTCCTAAAGTTGGTCTGGAAAGGGAAAAACCGAGCTCTCAGGTTTTAATAGCTATATTCAATAGTGCAGTTTTTCCATGTCCCAACTTCCTGACCAGTAGATAACTTCTAGATAATATAAAACAAAATTTTGTAGAATATATTTGTATGACGTGAAGAAAATAATAGAATAAATAATTTGATAAATATTTGAATTTTCATTTTCTGGTACATGAATGTAGTGTAACCAATGGAGAAAGAACAATAATATTATTCATAGCTTCTTCCTAAAAAACACTGGAAAAACATTTCAAAAGATTTGCTAGTGAAATCCCCCTTAGTAAAGCATGGTAAAGTAGATGGTTAGATTTAGGGTAAGGGTAAATAATATAGCAATACAAGATCAGGTGGAAGTGTGCCATGGTAATAATGATAGATCCCAAGATAATTTATTATCATACACCTATTTCGAAAATCGTTGTCGCACCAAGAGCCTCAAGTAACAAGCCAAGGCTCCAGAGAACGTCGGTACATTTAATTACAATTGATTTATTCACGGTTCATGCAAGTCGCTATAGCTCTCCACTAATTATCATCAAAAGCAGCCTTGCTTGGAGCAATTTATGAAGTCAATAAATGAAAATGCACCATGAATAAACTAATTACAGCTAAAAATCCCAGCGTTCTCTGCGGTCTTGGCTTTTGGCTTGACTTTTGGTGCGACAACGATTTCTGAAATAGGTGTATATGAATATTTGAAGAATTATTGAAATGGGCCAAGTATCAGTCCAAAGGAATACATCGATATGTAAAGGTAAGTTGTATCACTAGAGAAATGTGATGATAGTATTCTGTGAAATACATCTGTAAAAAATCTCCACATTACAATATACACAGCTCGTTCTATAGGAACCGAGGAAAGATATTTTCACAACTTCTTAGTGACCATATACTGTATTTTAAAGTTGTGCTAAACGACTCTTGGAATTGTGCGAACAGGTCATAGTTGTGCAAACGGGTTCGTGTGAAAAGGCAATTGTGCGAAACAACTGGTTACCATTCTGTAGCAGAATTGGAATCTAGGAGTTGATTTTAGTATTTAATACAAAGTAGGACTCGCATTTTGTAGTTTCGGCTCATGAGGAAGCGATTAATTAATACCTAATATTATTTATATGTCAGTGTGTGTGTGTGTGTGTATGTTTGTGTGCGTGAGCGTGTTTGTGTGTGCGTGTGTATGTGTGTGTATATGCGTGTGAGCGTGTTTGTGTGTGTGTATGTTTGTGTCTGTGTGTGTGTGTGTGTGTGTATGTTTGTGTGAGTAGAAGAGGGGTTGAGCAGAGGGGTGGGGTGCATTAACATGCAATGTAATAAGTGCATCCCTTGCAATGGTTTGGGGATGGAGCTTCAATAATGTACATACTGTACTTGGGTCATTCTTTGTTCATTATATCATATAYACAAATTTCAAAAAAATGCTGTTGAAGTCAAAGGCGATAGGCATCAAGAAATATGACACAGATCATCCCAAGTTCCAAGAATAAATTTTAAAAATCTCTGGTTTCTTATTATTATTCTCGTTAAGAACATATGTAGGTTAGTGTCGATATGTGCAGTATTGCCTGTGATTGACAAGCTATTCTAAACACCCTGATGGACCCCTTACGAAAAGAATTTGGATGTGAGACTAACATGAAGATTGAATGAAAATCCTTTTTTAGCCAGGGTAGCCCACGGAGCTTTGATGCTGGTATCCAATAAAGGGCCCTGTATTTGAGCCAATTTTGAGAAGAGGCCATCATTAAGARAATTAATAGATCATTAGAAATAAATTAAAGCACATCAGTCTTATGTCATTCCACCTCAACAACCGACTTTAAAAATAGGTGTATTCTTTGATTGCACGTTACACCATCACCGCCTTTTGTGAAAGTGTTGGTGCTATTTATTAGCATCCATTGTTAACAGTACAATAGCTGCCATGCTTTTGACTTGTAACTCTCTTGGGAATGCTTGCAACCCATCAATAAACAATAAATATGATAAACAACAAATGATTTTCATTTATAAACAACTTTACTTGGTGTTGCACATTCTTTCAGTCTTAACAAGCAGGTAGTGTGTGCATTCAATGATGGAATCTTGTTTGCTATGAAGAATTTACAATCCAAGCTTGGTACGGCGCCAGTGTCTTCTCTTGGCATTATACCTATCGAAATAATAAAATCAATAAATTAGTGATAGAGATTAATGGGATTTAGCTGTAACAAACATTGAAACATAACAGGAATATTAGGCCTAACCACAACATGCCGGATAAATTTGAATCCGCAACTTTCACACCGAAACCAAAAAAAAAAGGTTTCCCGTCTACACATAAAAACGGATAAAATGTTTTGCATCCACACTAGTCCGATCAGAGGTGGCAAAAACGCTTCATTGCACATCTCAGCATGTGCATCGAAGCTGAAATTGAGCCTGCTGTGAATTTGTATCTTTACAGCCATGTTTCCATGACAATCATGACGTTATCGTATTTGAAAAATTTGGATACAAAATGTTCTCTGTCCACACTAATATGGCTAGGCGGCGTTTTCAAATTGTTCCACTTTGGAGACCGTGTTCAAAAAAATTCGTTTTTGGTGAAGAATTGTTCCGGATTTGCCCGGACTAGTGTGGACGGTAGGTCTAACAGGATAAATGAAAATTCAGATTCAAATTTATCCGGCATGGTGTGGACTGAGCCTCAGATATTGATTTTGTGGAGGAAAACTGAAGAACCTGAAGAAAACCAAGCAACTCTACTCACATACAATACTAAGTTTAAAAATTGAATCTAGGTTGCATTAGCATCCATGTTTGCCAAGTATAAAACCTTTACAGAGATCTCAGAGATCATGAAACCCTACTTGCACTGGTAAGAAATAAATATTTATAGAATTCAAGAAAAACATATTTACTTATTTCAATAAAGTCACTAAAAACCTAGAAAGCTGAGGATCATGAGAAACTTTTCACATTAAACAAGTCAAGATTTTTATACGTTTCGGGTCACGGAGAACAAGGATTCTGGCGCTGTTTCCCAGACGGTTATTTTGAGGAAATTAAATCAGCTGCATGCAGGCTACAGTTATCAATCAGTTGAAACATGTAAAATGTATCTACCCATAATCCTTGTGGGTGTCAGCTTTGTAGCTTTACAGGTGACTACCTTCATTGAAATGAGTATACACCTAATTAAAAAAACCTAGTCGGGTTTGAGGAGGTCATATCATCGAAGCTAAGACCAAAAAAGTCTATGGATACTCCAAAATGTGTATTATATTTGCATATAGACATGTAAAAATGCACAGTAGAGCAAAGTCGGTGGACCTAGATTAACAACATGCCAAAGCCATGATGCATAAAGTGTGCACAGGAAGGGAAAACTGCAATACGTATGAAATTAGCATAATTGTTTGTCTTCCCATGCTCCCATTCAGTCTTCAGCTTTGATGATATAACCTGTTTTTGAACCCGACAACGTTTTTTTCCAATTAGGTGTATACATAGCATTGAAAGATACTATTCTTATTCTTGAAGTGCAACCATGTGACTAAAAGATCCCTTGAGACACAAATAACAATGAAACAGCTTCAATCTTGTTTGATTTAACAAGAGAAGCTTTCTGCTAATGAGGAATGCTTTATATAGTCAACAAACATGGCATTTATGATGTAACATGCAATACATTGGACCACTGTAGTCCATCTACAAATGACCCTTGAATGTGAAATGAAAGAATTTAAGTGCACCTAGCCCCCGATACAATACTTTCAGTATTGATTCTACATAAAGTGAATAGTTGAATGGTGAAATATTTCTTCATTTGAACGTTGCATCTTTAGGTTATGAAGGTTTATACTTCCATTACATTGCTGACTGTGACGTCACCCCAGGTTTTTGAGTTTATTTGTTTTCATTTTTAATACTATACACTAGCCATTATGAGACATCAGGTTTACAATAAACATTGTGGTAACCTTGAGTATAATAATGATTCTTTTTAAAAACTGTTTGTATGAACCAGTCAAAATTTGTATATTTAATGAAGCCTGGGGTGACGTCACAGTCAGTAACATATTGGAAGTATAAACCTTCATAACTTAAAGATGCAACATTCAAACGAAGAAATATTTCACTTTCCAACTACCCACTTTATGTAGAATCAATACTGAAAGTATTGTATCAGGGGTTAGGTGTACTTTAAGTATCATTTATAAACATGCATAGATGAATTCATACAGGACGAAGGGAGTCCTATATCCCCGTCATAAGCAAAGATGTTAATTAAGGCGATAAAGTAAGAAAATACAAGCTCAGAATTACCAATAATAGGAAAAAATTTTCTACATCTGGTTTGTTTTTGTTAAACTTTATAATTCATCACAAGAGTTCATGCTGAAATTCAGATTTATTTTTATTATGCTTAATTTCTTCGGAATATCGTAAATGTATATCTTACCTGATCTTGTTGCCAGTCCTTAGTCTAACCCACTGTGGGATAGGTCTATTCTGCTTCATTTTCTTGGCCAATTTGACCTTAATCTTGAAGGACTTGTGTGCCGGCTATCGGAAGAGAAAAACAACATGGCTGATCACTAATAACGCTACGATTTTCCATCAGTCAAATTCACATACGTAAATTAGCCATCGGTGAATATTTTTTACTCCTCAGGCTAAATAATAGAGTGTACTTTCATTTCCAAAGCCTATTTATGTCATAACGTTTTATAATAAAAATAAAAAAGGCTTCAAACTCACCATCTTTGAGAATTTTGCTTGTCTTTTCTCAAGTAAAGTGAAAAGGAGCCATAGTACACCCGCAAGGGATTATGGGAATGTTGTTCCCAGGCCCCAAACTTTTGACACTTCATCTTGATTCCAATGAAAAATTTTATTTAACTCATTTTTTTAACAATTATTAAACTGAATTATCTAAGCCGTTTAATCTTTAAAATATGTTTCTTTTAACAACTAAAGATACAATGAAAAAAGGATAATTGACCCAAATTTGTACACACGGTTTGTGTTACCACAGGAAGCCCGTAAAGCCACCAACTACTTTACTTTAAACAAGAAACTCTTTAATTTAATTTACTTTACTGGAAGTCCTTGAAATCCTGGTCTCAAAGAATGAATTATGCCAGAGCCCTCTTTCTTCGCCGCAGGCCAGAAGAAACGCAGGCTCTGGGTAAAGTGCATTTAGTCAAACCGTTGAATAGTTGACGTCGCCTAAATTAGATAAGTTAGTTACTATATTTTAGAGTGCTTTTAGTCTCACTGTTGAATAGGTGACGTCAACTAAATTAGATAAGTTATTTACTATTTTAGGTGACGTCACCTAAATTTTAAACAGCTACTGAGATCAGGGGGAGAAACGATGATACAAATGAATGTCTATTCACTCATTCTCTYGTAAAACAACCGCCCGGATTAGCATGATCGTTATTTGGCGCGCTTTTACTATTTTAGGTGACGTCAACTAAATAGTTATCTAAGTTAGATACATTTATCTAACTATTCAAAAGTTTGACTGAATGCACTCTACGAGACTTATTATTTTTGAAATTTTCATTTTTACTTTCAAGTTTAAGACAATGAATTAATGCTGGAGAACATGCGAGGTGTTAAAGTTCCCATTGGTCATCCCTTGAGATAAACTGTTAACCAAACATGGGAAGGTATTAATTGAATTTCTCAAACTTGTTGACTTTTCTTGTCAATTTAGTATAATACATATATTCCTACGCGGGACTTAACGCTCAGTTCTTTTTTTGTTTTTTCGTCTTATGATTTCGTCTTTTCAACATTTAAAGCTTCAAATAAGGTAAGGTTATCATGATGGATAAAGGGTTGATAGCCACAACGGAACGACAATTGTATTTGGGGGGAAATTGTTTTTGATATGTTGATGCTTCTTTGTCTTCACAAGAGAAATAACAATTGAATGCGAACCAAATCCATTGGTATAACATCTATTTCAAAAACGGTTGGCGAACGTTTTGTTGCTCGTACATATGCATGAGCGTCTTACCAAACTTTGTCTCCACGTGTTTTCTTCTATGCACGCAATATGCAACAAAATCTCAGTTCACCAACGACATCAACCTTTTCTTTATATTTAGATAGCTTTATCTTCTTACGAGGGTTAAGTGCTTAAAGCCCTTTTAAACCTTTTCCCGATAAAGAAACTAAAGAAACTCTGAAATAGTGACGTAGCAATGACGTCACAGCAAAACTGAGGTGTCATGAGCCTGCGAAAAATTGACCAGCGAAAAATTTGGAATAAAAAAAAACACAACTCAGAAAAAATGATTTCAAGAGGAAAAGTGGCACTTCAGTTTTGTAAATTTTCTCGATTCTGATTGGCTAACGTTTACTTGTGAGATCAGCTGGATGTCATGATTTGCAAACAAAACCTAAGGTAAATGTGCATGACTCATCCAGCCATTTACTATCCCTAGTACGCATATAAACACAGTCCCCTGAGCTGTCTGGCTCATTGCGGTACCAGTTATTGTAACTTAAGGTACTGCCGTCTGACCATGAAAGAGTAGAAGGTGAACCAGATCTGGCCAAGCCAATCCACACAGCACTTACTACAGCACTCCTTATCAAGGAATGAACAAAGTTGTTCTCTTGCAGACTGGTAATTGACACTAAATTGGCTTGATTTGATTGACAGGCAAGGGATGAATCCTGCCATAACTTGGTCTCGGTATATACATGGTAACATGATCCTCCAAATAGGTGCCACCCCAATTTACACGCTGTAAAAATAATAGTGATAATAATCATATTCGTCAAAATCATCATCATCATCATCCTCATCCTCATCAACATCATCCTCATCAACATCATCAACATCATCCTCATCAACATCATCACCACCATCATCCTCATCAACATCATCATCATCAACATCATCCTCATCAATATCATCAAGAGTATTTATTATTATAATTAGAATTATTCATGGTTATTCATTATTCATTATTATCATTCATCATCATCATCATATATGATCATTCATCATCTTCACCATCATCATCATTATAATTACCATCACCATAACCATCACCATAAAATCATCATAACGCTATCACCATTATCATCACCATCATTATCACCATCATTATCACCATCTTCACTACAATCATCATTATTCATCATCACCATCACTATCATCATTATTATCACCATCATCATCACCGTCATCATAATTAACATCGTCATCATCATTGAAGATAGTACATTGCCATACCTCGATCACATATCACGCCATCACCTTGGTAACCGTCTGTGTATGAGCATTTGAAAGTGCCTGCTGCCGCTGTGCAGTTTGCATTGATAGAACAATTGTGTTTTCCAGCATCACAATAATCTTCTAGCAATTAGAAAGAATAAAGATTATAGTGTACATCTGACTGACTGACTGACTGACTGACTGACTGACTGACTGACTGAATGACTGACTGACTGACTGACTGATTGACTGAATGACTGAATGACTGACTGACTGACTGACTGACTGATTGACTAACTGACTGACTGACTGACTGACTGAATGACTGAATGACTGACTGACTGACTGACTGACTGACTGAATGAATGAATGAATGACTGAATGACTGACTGACTGACTGACTGACTGACTGACTGATTGACTGACTGACTGACTGACTGAATGACTGACTGACTGACTGACTGACTGAATGACTGACTGACTGAATGACTGACTGAATGACTGACTGACTGACTCACT